TGCTCTAAAACGACCCAATTCTGTAATACAAATTTTATGGGAACCTTCTAAGGGTTCCTAACAACATGATGCTCTTATCTTATTTTCTGCTTTGTTTCGGAGCAATGCTGAGGCCAATAAGTCGGGCTTTTTTTTTTCGTCGGCTGCATTTTGCCGCATCTCCGTGAAATTGATGTTCTTTTTTGTCGTACTTGAATGATTGAACCCGTAGGAATAGGAGATGAATGGCTCCGAACAATGGATGGGATTTTTCGGCCATAACATGCTGGTTTCACCTGATCAGGCATGAGATATGGCGGAAGAAGATGCTGGTAAAAGGCATAAAAATGTGCTCAGATAAATCATATGGGCGGCACTTGAATGGGCTTATAGCTGTGACTTCCAGTTGAAATCTCAGTGTTTTTTGCGCCAATAGATTTTCCTGAAAAGCGCAATTACTTTTAACGTCTTCAGGTTTTGTAGTAGAGGAAGATGACTGCTGCCCGCAGGTCAAACTTGAAAAGCTTACCTATTCGGTCAGATTTTATAAGTTTTCTTTGCGCCTCACTTTCATCTCCGCTTGTTTCCAGGAGGAGTCCCATCGGGCCCCTCACTTCGGCCCTCACATAAAGAAATATCGAATGGAAACATGGACCTTATAAATGAATACGTACAAAGGATAACGGACATGGAGTGTAAACAGGGAATGGCTGATGCATAGGTAGACAGGCACTCAGAATGACAGATAGACGGATTTACAGGAGGTCACCCAGAGGGACGGTGTTGGAGAGATGGGCAGATGAAGCAAAAGAAGGCAACTAGGTAGGTACATATATGTCTTCGCAGAAGTCGTTTATGAAAAGGAAGTTCAATGGTCGAAAGGGTATTGAGAATATGAGTGAAGGGCCACGCAGCTGGGTGAGAATAAAGCTGAAACCTGGTGTACAGACTGTCCTCCAGGCAATGAAGATTACAAGGAAAGAGAACAGCTATAAATGCATATCTTAGGTGTGGCGGGAAGGAGAGGGGACTTGGCTATGTGGAGAGAACATGAAAGGTGTTCAAAAGGAGTGCTGAACCCCCGGAACTGTTCTCGGCTGGTTGTGTGGCCTCGCTGCCGCTTGCAAGGCGCTTCGAACAGTCGCCCCTCCTTCAGTTGACGGTATTACCGAAAATGTTCTATTCTGAGGCAATCGTTTCACGATCTCATACAACCAAAGTTTTCTTATTATGTACCCATCATGGCTTCCGATCCATAACGTTGCTCATATATGGTGTTGGAAATACAGGAAGGGTATTGTTGGTTAAAGAACATGACGTGTTGTCAGCTCTTCCCTAAACTGAATAATACATTCTTCCAGAAAAGGAAATGATCGTTTTATATGTTCACTCAGAGCAAGTATGAAAGCTAGGCTATTGTTTTACAGATGATTATTGAAAACAGATTTTGAACTGCTATTTTATTCCAAATTAATTTTTTTTTGACAGTATCTGTAGAGCTACTTAGAATGTCTTGCACTGAACGTCGTTCCCCTTTGGCAATTCATTTCAAGTTGTTATACTTAATACAAGCTCTGTGAACTTATGTGAGTTTCGGTGAATGTGGATGTATGTAGAACCATTGAATGGTGCGTCAGTGGCAAAAAATTTTAAGACTTCATTGAAAATCCAGGACAACTCTGTTCTCCCATTTGGTACCATTCATTGCTGTGACTTCCTTATTGCTATTTAGCATTCTGTTTAATCAGATGTAATGATCACCAATGTAGCGCCAATGATCCAGCCTCCTTACTTCTCTGTGTAACCGGTTTATATCTCCGATTCCTTCGAAAGAAGTACGTTTATCTATGCCTTTCCCCATGTGGATCGCGTTTATGAAGAATCGTAATGGCATTTAAATGAGCTTCCGAGATGCGGATTACATCGTGATTAGTCGGTGTTTCCATATTTGGAAAACATATCATAATTCGAAGGGTGGGACATTTTCGGTACATAAACGGTGTAGTCAGTGCAGCTCTTAACTTTACCCAATCTTGGTCCGCAACAGTGAAACCAATTACATAACTTGATACGTGGGAAGTATGCTGGGCGCCTACTTCACAGAAATACTGCTCTCTTTTCCTTCATCGATGGTAGCTCTCTAATCGGACGATGGCCAATAGTTGCGCCCTTACTCTCTGGAGTACTGTTGGACTTGATTATACAGTAAGGTGAACCATAATATCGAGATTTCTCATTTTCACCAGACTACCAATTACGGTTAAGTCAACAATGAAGAAGGCGATAGTTGTAGTAATATAGTTTGAAGGCGAGTGGCACTACTGTCAGCCGCTTGAGCAGCGAAACCCACATCAACCACATCCACCTATCACCTTCCACCGTGAAACTGTTGCTGGAACGTCAAGTGCCCGAGTACTAGTTAACTCATCTTGGGAGAAATGGATCCAGGTCACGCATATAAAAAGAAACGCCTCCTACCAATGCTCCATTCATGGTCATTTCTACACCATGCAGATGCCTTACGCATCAATCATGTGGACTGCTTGGTATTTTACTGCTTTGGCGGCTCCAGCAAAGCAATATGAATGAAGTTTCTTGTTTATTGATCGACTTGTAATTTGTCTTTTATTATCTTCTTGGATTCCTTTAGTCAGATGTTGCTCTGAGTTGCAACTCTAATATTCAGGGTGGGTTTGCGTCAAGCGTGATAGGTGAAGCCGTAGAAGGTAAAAGATCGAGTGGCTCAGGCCCTTAAAGACGACGAACTTGTCGAAACGTTGTACACAATTAGTATTCCAACTTCAGAAAAATAAACAATAACTTGATCCTTGTTCGGCACGGGGGGGGGGGTTTACAGTGATTAACTTATTTTTTATTTTCATTTATTTTCGCATTTGTACCCGTCTATTTTGCTTCATTTGTTCATAATTTGCAATTGGACAGGTTTGAAATATTCAAATTTCAAACGTGTACAATTGCTCGGTTGCTTAAAAGAAGCTTCTTTTTTATGGGACTGGAGCGGAACTGCACCACTACAGTCAGTAACTGGTTGGATGTTCTCACTGTAAAGTACAGGAAATAACCCCATTTCAAGAAACGGGGTGACAGGGTTATGAAATCGGTGTTGTTAGAAACCGTCTCCATAACAGCATAACAACAACCCGAGATTTTTTTTCTTAAATTAACTGGACCATTTAATTGCCAGCTGTCTGTCTTGGCAGACTCGTTAGAGAAGAATTTTGCCATTCCGTTGGTTGAGTCTTTCTCGTTCCGAATTTCGTTCTGAAGCCCACCACCGACCACGGGAGTTTCATTTTGTGATTTATCTGACTTTTTCATCTACCTTTGAACCGAATTCTCAGCCTGTGGCTCCCATCATGAAAATGAGGTTTTGATAGTAATTCGAAAATCACCAGTGCGGCAGAAACCTCTTGGTAGGAAATAATCAGTACCATACGTATATAGGAGTGGTTCTTCATGCATGCAGCTTCCAATATTAATGTGCAGTCCTCTTTCCCAGGGTTTGGGAATAACACGAAATATTTGTCATTATCGTTGCATTCAAATGAGACTTCACAATTGATAACAAAACAACTTTTTCGATGACTGACGATTTGGCGAAGTCGTCTTCCTTCAAACCTTGGCTCAGATTTAGCAGTTGATAGATGATTGCTATGTAATTGTTACAACCTTCAGCGGTAAGCTTGCAAATGGTAGCATTGTGACAGGGCACGATAAACCTCTGAAATGTCATATGTGGTGTCATTACATCCACTAGCTTGGAGTGGCTATTGTTAGAGCCGAATTGCGATTTCTTCATGGATTTTTTGCAAAAATGCGATAATTTTACGACACAATTCCTGGCATATGGCAGAAACTAGTAACATAGATAAATTGTTATGATTCTAAATACATCAAACTTGCGGACATTGAATTTCCCCATTAATCGCAAGCCAGCATCAGCAAAGTGATCTGACCGCACGAGTGTAATGGAACGCCGACACCCGTAGGGTTTATCTTAAGCGCTCTTGTCCAACTATCCAGCGATTCTGTGCTGAGTAATCGAAGAAGTTGATGATGTTTCATGAAATTCTAACATAATGAGTGTTTTACCGTGCTCTTGAGGCAGGTAATACGGTTTTCTCGAAATTCCACTTTTCGGCTCTTTGCTATGAAGGTATCAACCTTATTTTTGTATTCCTCCAGATTAGGGGCCGCTCTTGGTCATGCGAAACACATTGTTTATTCGTTTAATGAACTCTATTATAAATAAAGCTCAAAGTTTCGGAGTTTAAAACGTTGGGACTTCAGACTTTATTAATTTGAATAGGCTCAGATGAGCTTAGAAGCAATAGCACTTCATCGATCGTCTGTCTCTTTCTGTCTTTTTGGGGTGGATGTATCAAGACACAAGTTGAGTTCAGTTAAAAATTTTCTTTGGTTTGCTAGTTACTGTCACAGCCTTATGAAATCAAATCAATCCTACACATTCATGAAGTCGCTGTCTTATTACATATGTTCCTAGCGTGCGGTCGCGGCGCGCCTCGCCGTGACCACGGGTACGCTTCGTTGCGCGTGTCCGTCGAAACTAGGTCACGCCGCAGCCGTCGCACGCGGCGAGTCGGCCCGCGATATTTGACAGACGTCGCAATTGTCACTGGGGCATACGCTTTGCGTTTGGTCCACGGCAGTCAGTTCAAGAAGAAGATAACACAGACAAATGCAAATCATTTGCTCCAATGACACTTGGTGGTACTGTAGTGTCATCTCGAGACCTCAGTGGAGTGCGCCGCGCGCGAAGTGGTCGGGGTNCCCATGAACACTTAGGCTATGTCCACAGGTTGTTACTTATGTGCCTTGTTCCACAGCTGTCCCTTGTCATGACAAGTTGTTCCATTTACTGGACCCTCACAGAATCAAGAATTTCTTCCATCTAAATCTTTCAATAAACTTTTTTTTCTACTTTCAGTACTTCATTAATTTCTATATGAGTTGGACTTAAAGTGAATATCGGCTTCAATCTGAAGGTGATTCATTTTCAGGGCGAAAAATTAGGAACTATCGAAGAGGAGCTCACTCATTGGTTAGATCGTAGTAAATCGTCAACAACAAAATCTAGCAAAGAAGACACTTTACCAAAGAAATCGGCCACATTTCACAATATTGTCGATCTACAAAAGACTCGTGAGTGTCTTTAGTCTTGAACTACAATTTTTCATTGATTATAGTCAACGTTCAAATTTTCATCTCATTCAATTTTCTATTTTTCAATAAAATTCACACGATTAAACAAAACTGGCCCGATATCCCACCAAGGAACAACCATTACACGAATAAACCTCTTTGATTTCCGTAAATGATGTCCGCTGTATTAAGAATTACCAGAGCCTTCGAATTCTCATATAAAGTATTACTTCTACCCACACACGGTTTGGGATTGAATCTGGGATCGTATCCGTCTACGAAAACTAAGTCTTTCGTCTGTTCGGAGTCGATTAATTGGTACCAGACTCGCCTGGGAGGATAAAAGCTTCGATTTGTATATCGGCTGGCCACCGTAAATCGTTGTGTAGACCTAGACCATGAGCATTCGAATCGTGAATACGATTCTAATTTGAAGGCCGATGCTTGGCGCAGCCCCCAAGCGGAATTGGTTGGAATCGATGACTACATTCTTTTGAAAATGAGCTTTCGCCTGAGCTACCCGCCGAACAAATGAGTGCTTGATAATTAAGAGTTCTGAGAGCAGCATCAGTTTTTCTTTATTTTTATGTTTTGACTTTTGTTTATTTCTTACAATGCATCCATCCCTCTTTCGATTTCCTTTGTTGTTGTTGGTTTTGTCGAAAACACCATTCCTTAATTTCCTACTCGGAGCAAGGGGTTTGAATGTAAAGTGTAAACAAACCCTTGAAAACAATAACAAAGAATATCAATAGAACCTAATTTCAATGTTTGGTGTAAAAAACCTGAGCAACTCAAACCGATGATATTCCGAAGAGTTGCGAATCGTTTCCAATATGGATCTTATGTGAGGATTCTTCCTCTGAGCCGTGCATCAGCGACTTCGTCTCAGTACCCAGGAGTATTTGAAAGCACATTCAGTGAATGCAATCGTTAGCTTGGGCAAACATACGGTTATCAATATTTTCACTCTCACTGATGGGTTCATGGAGATTCCCAGGCAATGGAAGGTTCGTTCGGTCTTCGCCTGGGCGGGATTCTAGAATGCTACAAGGGCAAAAGTCGATGCACAACGGGTTGGTTGCCTCCGACTGAATGCCATATGCCTTCATCACTCGTTTTTTTGTTTTGTTTGCTCGAAGCTGTTATTACTGCAGTAATCATTTCCGTTTACACACTGAGATCATGTCAGTTCTAGGGAACAGCTGAATCAGTTTAGAGCGATTGTCACGGGCCGAAAAAAGTTGGATTAATGAATAGGTTTGCTTTAGCTTTCATTTTCCGTTGACAGGGTGACTAGATAGTGGTTTTGAAGATTTTATTATTGAATTCTTCTATCAATACTGGAAATTAATTTTTCCATAAGTTTCCACATCANCCCCCCCCCCCCCCCCCCCCCTTCTCCTACTCCTCCCCAGATTGAAGTTTTTTGTGTGAAGCGTTCTAATTCTTGGTCACTGTGTATCAAATACTTACTCGTAATAATAATATGTATAATATACCATGTATATGAAATAAAATATGAAATTCTGGTTGAATTTCTGAAAAAAAAAACAGAGTTAGCTCATCCACAGCTGGTCACAAAAAAGCGCTGCACTTTGTCAGCTGTTATTTGTAAATGGAACGTTGTAATATCCTCAAATAATGTGTATATGGTAATAGGCTGTTTCTTTCTGTCTGACTGTTTTTAGCAGTGTTTTCCACTACAGGGAAAATGGCTGAAAATGAAAAACACCATGTGGTTTTACTTTTTGTTACAAATGAACATTGGCGTCGAATTTTTTTTGCAGCGCTTCCAGCGCTTCGTCGGAGAGTCTATTACTCTTATTCAATGTGAACTGAGCTGTTCCCTGGAGTTTCCTCAGAACCGCTTCTGACGGAGAGGCGTTTGGCGTTTTGAAGCGTAACCCATAGGTCCCAAGCGGTGTTACAGTCTTTAAGGAATACAAACTAACTGAAAAAATTTCAAGGCTCCAAGAAGAAGCAAAGAAGATGTCTACTGGGACTTCTCCATCAAATGTTGGTCAACAACAATTCCCGTACCCCAAATATCCCATTTCCTTACTCATTAATATTGGATGGCACCCGTTGGTGCTCGTCGGAGGTCATTGTTTGTTGTCCGGCGGCTTATTTACGTGAACCAAGTGGCGATGGTGAAAGTTGATCGCTTGCGAGAGTCTCTGCAGCATCTGGCTAGCTTGAGGTGTTTTTCAACCCCCACACACACACAAACTTGACTGATCGACGACTGACTGCTGCTCGATGTGGTTGGTGGATGGAGTATCCTGCGAGAGAGGAGCATTGGAGGGGGTTTGTTCCTGCAGCTGGTACTGGTGGTGTTGACTGCGAAAAACAAAAGCGTTCAGTTCAATATGCAGCCTCCAACACAACGACGACCCCTCAACCACGACGACAACGACGGCGACGACGACGACGATCGCGTCAATTGTTTTCATAGCGGGACTGCTGACGCTCGCACTTCACGGACGAATTAGCCCTTTTCATACAGCTTATCGGACCTCTCCGTGAAAGCTTTTGACAGTGCTGCTGTGTAATGAAATAATCTCCTTTTGGATCATGTGCAATTTTCGTGAAACTCAGGGATAAGTTCATTTCAAATGTTCTAAGCCTACGAAAATACCACCCTAAAAAAGCAAAATGAAATGAACGAATGATGAATAGAACTCCTCCAGCAGCCTTCTTCCATTCCTCATTCTGCTTTCATTCTTATTTTATTTACAAATCGTATTATTATTATTATTTCTGACTTAACGCCATTTAGGAATGATAGTATCCGAGCTTCCTCTTTGTATATATTTATATTCGTACATACCTGATCATTGTCTACCTACAGTAGGGCACCGGAACTAGGTCGATTAGTCGTGTCAGGACCGTTACAGGGTCCTCGAACCATGCTCTGATGCCGACCCTGCCTCAACGGGTTAATGGCCACATACACCAACCTTAACCCTTGTTTTTGTTAATCAGTTCAGAAATTTCCAATCATCGGATCTAGGCTGGTTAGTCGGACTGTTCTGGGTCTCTCGGACTGTTGTGGAAGTAAGATTCAATGTTTATCTACATTATCTTCCGTCTAGATGCCAGAGTCCCTCAACCCGAAATATTGTGGCTTTCGATCAGCTTCTCGTGTCACTGCACTTTTTCGTATTTGGGATGAGGTCGTATTTTCGTGAGAAATATCAAAAAAATTTTCTTAGTAGCTCTTGGAATGTGTCCTGATTCGTCTTCTATCTAAAACAGTAACATCGTTATAATGTGTTAGGCATATTCATTGCTGCGGTTCACTACGACACGTTAATCTTACAGTAGTTCCGGCAATGGGTCCTGGCGTGAATGAGTGCCGCATGCTAACCCCCTGGCCACTTTGTTACCTCGTGCCCTTGCATAAGGTTCTTTTTTGATGCGTTGATAGGTGACAAATGAAAATTTGTGAATTTGAATTTTGTGATTTTCAAATAGGGTTATGCCATGATATAGAATGTCTTGTCTGTGAATTTCTGCGCTCAATATATTTTATTTTACGGTAGTTCTTGTAGGACTAACGTGTCGTGCAGGAATTTTCGCTCATGCACTGCCCTGCCTATGTCTACTGAAACAGAAAATACTGGCTATTTTTATAACGTTAATTGGCTGGTTTTCGGAGTCTTGCCCAATACCGGAGGGTTTTTTGGGAGTACCTAGATCCCTAATGCCATAGGTTTATCCACCATTCAGAAGAGGGGAAGGATTGATTTTCGAAGAACTGCATGGTATAGCAAAAGTGCTGCCAAGCGTAATTTTTGAACAGCTGAGTTTTTGCGAATGCAAACATATAGCTTCACTTAGGAGATAGGTGGCTTCACCGTCGGGAATTATGAATCGAAGGCAATTACGAAAAAAAAGTGTGTGCCCTTTGGCGTCTACTGATCAATTTAATGTGCTCACGCAATGGACTTTCATTTTTGATGTCTCTGGCATCTAGACGGGTTATTTGGCCCATACAATGACTTTTTGAGGAAAACTGATGTGAACTGCTTTCATCCTTTCAAAAAAAAAATCCATGCCATTTAACCGATCCACGAGGGATGGGAGGCTTATTGTTAGATG